AACTCCCTCAGAGCCCTCTGGAAATCATCAGGATCCATTAACCTCCGGTAGTGAACCATTTTAAGAGGTCACTCATCCTTGCAGAAGGGGGTGGGTGGGCAAAACTCTAAACCTCAAAAGGAAGTCATTTGACCATGAAAAAGAAGTTAATGTTAATCCCCCAACTTCCAGATCAGCATCCTCCTGCCCAGTCAGGTGGACCAGATCAAGAGTGCATCCTTTTACATGTGTAAAAGAAGGCCACTGGTGGTGGAAGACTCTACCTCCAGGCTGTAGCTGTGGCAGACCCTCCCTCCCTCACCAGCCAGTGAGGGATAGCAGCCACAGTGGAGGGCAGTAGGCAGGCAGGAGTTTGGTCCAGTGGTGGATAGCTCTTGCCCACCCCAGACTCAGGCCCCCAGAAGGCAGCCACTATTTTCCTAATAGTACCAAGCAAATAAGCTTACAATTGTGATGTATGTTTCAAGAGGTTAGCACTACAAATATTAGTGTTAGGGTTATATCCAGAGCTTTTCATCTGCCCAACAGAGCAGCATCTGTTATTGGAATAGGTTCAGCTTCACTTGCAGCACCCCAACATCTCCAGTAATTGTTTGGGCATGGGGTCCATCAAGACCAGGTTTGAAAGGGTTATGACAGCTACAGGGGGAAGGGAGAGGGAAAATGCTGATATATGAGTGGAGTACTCGATATAATCCTATTGGTGCCTTTTTGTGGGGCATATGATTTCCAATTTTCTGTGGTGTATGAGGAAAATACTATAGTGTGCTTAAGAAGAAATAAGCAAAGTGTATTGTGGATCCAAATGTTATAACCCTAACTTTTGAGGTGTTTTATACATTCAAGAAACGTTCCTTTTATGTTAGTGTTTTTTTTTTTAAATAAACTCCATGTTTCTCTGTTATGACCTGACAGCTTTGAACTCAAGATAGTAATGTCTATACCTTCTGATTAATATGTATGTATACACTTTATTTGTTCAGTCAATGGTCATAACTAAATTAATGGTTTTTCCATAAATACAATACAATTTCAAAAATTACATAGGGTTATATCTTATATTGTAACAGTGGAAAGGTGATTTTTCTTCACCTTCTTCCATGGGTAGTTCCTAGAATGCTGCTAAGCCTCTTCTGACGGTACTGAGGGAAGGAGGAGCACTGAAAAATGGGTGCATGTACCTTTACCAAGCAGGAACTCCACTTGCTGAAGATGCCTCCACCTGATTTTCAAGAAGTTTTCCTTCTGCCTCAGCCCCCTTCAACCCATTATTCGATCTAATAAGGAATGTCCTCTGATCTCCAAAAGAGATTTTTCTCAGGCTGGTAAGGGGAAGAAAATGGCAGGGAAGCAAATTCCGTTTTGCAGCACAGTGTTGGATACTGTTGTATTATAAACATGCATCATAATAGTAAAATGTAACTCAATCTTATAGTTTCCCTTCTAAATTTTGTTTGAGCTTTAGCAACAAAAAGTGCAAAACATGTTGATTTAATTACATATTAATCTTATTCAGGACATTCAAAGTATTTATCTTAGTCAATCCCATGTCTGATATAGCATATCCTTTTATTTCTCGCTGAATCATCTCATAAATCAAGCTACTGAAAATACAGTGTAGAAAATCCTTGGTCTCATTTTTTCCTCAAATTCAACATACTTGCTCTATTTGTCTTCCCATAGTCTTCCCAGAAAGCATAATGCTAAGGATGGCTTTTATACAAATACTTCCTTCTCATCATCATCATGATGTTCCATATGGAACAGTTTCTACTCCCGGTACCTTGCTGCCATTGCTGCTGCGTTTAAAACAGACACACACCCTTCCTCTTTTGTCAGGACTGAACGAACAGAAGTGCATATCCCATAGATTTATCTGGTGCAGCTTTCATAGTGAACTTGATCTGAAAAGCCAGGGTAACATTTCAGCAGCTCAGACAAAATTGTAGTTTTAATGAGCAAAATTGGTCACTAGGGATGATGACCATCTTCTCATATTCTATCACTGGTTTTGTTTGGGGGGGGGGGTTGTTTAGTCGCTAAGTCATATCCAACCCTTCACAACCCCATTGACAACATTCCTCCAGGTTCTCCTGTCCTCTGTCATCTCTCGCAGTCCACCCACCCCCACCCCTCAGTGACCCCATCTAGCCACCTCAACCTCTGCTGTCCCCGTCTCCTTTTGCCTTCAATTGTTCCCATCATCAGGGTCTTCTCCAGTGAGTCCTTTCTCATTAGGTGACCAAAGTATTTGAGTTTCATCTTCAGTATCTGACCTTCTAAAGATCAGTCAGGATCAGTTACCTTTTAGATTGACTGGCTTGATCTCTTTGCAGTCCAAGGGACTCGCAGGAGTCTTCTCCAGCACCACAATTCAAAGGCCTCAATTCTTCGGCGCTTAGTCTTCCTTATGGTCCAACTTTCACAGCCGTACATTGCAACTGGGAAAACCATAGCCTTGACTATACGCACTTTTGTCGGCAGGGTGATGCCTCTGCTTTTTAGTATGCTGTAGATTTGCTCCCAAGGAGCAAGCATCATTTAATTTCTTGACTGCAGTCACCGTCTGTGGTGATCTTGGAGCCCAAGAAAATAAAATCTGCAACTACCTCCATCTGTTCCACATCTATTTACCAGGAAGTGATTGGACCAAATGCCATGATCTTACGAGTTTCCTTAATGATGAGTTTCAGGCCAACTTTTGTGCTCTTCTCTTTCACCCGCATCAAAAGGCTCTTTAGTTCCTCTTCACTTTTTGCTAGGAGAGTGGTATCTTCTGCATATCTGAGGTTGTTGATATTTCTCCTAGCAGTCTTAATTGCAACTTGTGATCCATCTAGTCCGGCCTTTCGCGTGATGTACTCTGCATATAAATTAAATAGGCAGGGGGACAATACAGTGGTACCTCGGCTCATGAACGAGGTACCAAATCAGGTCGCGAACAAAAAATTCATTAAATTTTTGACTCAGGTCACAAACTCTGCATTGGGTGGCAGCTGTGATCTCGGCTGTCTCCCCACCCCCCTGAGTGGGGAGATGGCTGCAATCGTGCCTGTCTTTCCTGCATGAGCCTGCCCATGATTGGGCCCATCTTTCCTGCAGGAGCACAACCGCGATATCCACCATCTCCCCCCGCCAGCACGCCTGCGTTCGCACCCATTTCTTCCACCCTGAGCGTGCGGTCATGCTGGGGGGCGGGGGGCGAGATGGCTGCGATCTTTGTTGTTCTTTGTCACTTTGCTTCACATTTTTCTGATTAAAAAAAATATAGTTACAGAACAGATTAACATTTACACTGAACCTTATGGAGAAACTTATGAGTGCAAATGTACAGTAGTTTGAGCATTCTTTGGCTTTGCCCTTCTTTGGGATTGGAATGTAAACTGACCTTCTCCAATCCTGTAGGCACTGTTCAGTATTCCAAATTTGCTGGCATGTTGGTCCTTCTTTGCATGAAATATTCCCTTGATATCTCCAATTTTCTTGAAGAGATCTCTATCTTTCTCATTCTATTGTTTTCCTCTATTTCTTTGCACTGTTCATTTAAGAAGACCTTCTTATTTCTTCTAGCCATTCTCTGGTATTCTGCATTCAATTGGGTATATCTTTCCCTTTCTCCCTTGCCTTTCACTTCCCTTCTTTCCCCAGCTGTTTGTAAAGTTTCCTCAGACAGCCATTTTGCTTTCTTGCATTTCTTTTCTTTGGGATGGTTTTAGTGGCTACCTCTCCTGTACAACGTTGCAAACCTCCATCCATAGTTCTTCAGGCACACTGTCTATCAGATCTAATCTCTTAAATCTATTTGTAACCTCCACTGTATATTCATAAGGAATATGATTTAGGTCATACTTTGAATGGCCAATGGCTTACTTTTTTCCATTCAAGCCTGAATTTTGCAACAAGAAGTTCATGGTCTGAGCCACAGTCAGAACTTTTCCATATTACCTGCAAAGCACATAATCTGATTTCTGTGTTGACCATCTGGTGATGTCCATGTGTAGAGTCGTCTCTTGGGTTGTTGGAAAAGAGTGTTTGCTATGGCCGGCATGTTCTTTTGTCAAAATTCTGCCAGACTTTGCCCTGTTTCATTTTGTACTCCAAGGCCAAACTTGCCTGTTAGTCCAGTTATCTTTTGACACCCTACTTTAGCATTCCAATCGCCCATGATGATACAGACATCATTTTTGGAGTTAATTCTAGAAGGTGCTGTAGGCCTTCATAGAACTGGTCAACTTCAGTCTCTTAGTTATCAGTGGTTGGGGCATAGACTTGGACTACTGTGGTATTGACTGGTTTGCCTTGGATTCGAACTGAGATCATTCTGTCATTTTGGAGATTGTATCTCAGTATTGCTTTTCCTACTCTCTTATTGACTATGAAGCCTACTCCATTTCTTCTGAGGGATTCTTGCCCACAGGAGTACATATGATGGTCATCTGAATTAAATTCGCCCATTACTGTCCATCTTAGTTCACTGATTCCCAAGATGCCGATGTTCAGTCTTGCCATCTCATGTTTGACCATGTCCAGCTTACCTTGATTCATGGATCTTACATTCCAGGTTCCTATGCAGTATTGTTCTTTACAGCATCAGACTTTCGCCACCAGATACATCTACAACTCCTATTTATACCTAGACTCTCTCGTAATCCCGCTATTAAGACCGTTTCTTACAGAATGGTCCTCTCTGTGTGAGTAGTTACTTCTGGACTGATTGTGAGAAGTGTTATTCCAGAGAGAGGATTGAATGCATTTAAAACATGTATTTAGGGTAGCGTTTCTGCAAGTTGTAAAATAAATGGATAATTGTCACACACATATGCAATGACATAGTGAAAAATACTCAAATATACAGAAGGTGCATTTCTCACAAACTTGTTGAGTGGCCTTTCCTTTCTGTCTCCCTCCTTGTATCCCTTTCAGTACCTGCCATCAAATTTAGATTACAAAATCTTTGGAAGAATTACTGAGTCTTTTGTGTTTAAATTCTTGTTCTCTAGCTCGTGGCTGGGAGTGTCGTGATGGCATTTGAAGAAGTCTGTCCGGACAGAATAGACCTGATTCATAAGAACTACCGAAAGCTCTGTAATCTGTTGGTTGATGTGGAAGAATGGGGACAAGTTGTTATTATCCACATGCTTACTCGGTATGCACGTACTCAGTTCGTGAGCCCCTGGAAAGAGGTAAGCAGTTTTAAGTAAAAACATTATTTTGGCTAGTCCAGTTTTGCTAAAACCACGCTTTTTGACATACTGGCAATCTCAAGTTAGGAATGTTTGAGTAATGAACATCCATACTTACTAATTAACTTCCATAAAGCCTATTAATTTAAAAATTCAAGTTAAAAACAATTGGTTCATAGTAATGAACATGGGAACTTTTGGAGTTATGCAGCCTACTGCAGAACATCATCATCACCATAAAGAGAGAAGAAGCAAAAGGGGAGAGCGGGATGGCCTCCAAAGCATGCCTTCCTGCCCAGCCCATCTGGAGAGGGAAATCTCTCTGGCATTTCCTTGGTGCAAAGAGGAGACACAGGTGAATGAAAGGGAAAGCAGAATATAAGAACATAAGAATGTAATAAATGCAGAAGAGGAGCCCTGCTGGATCAAATCAAGGTCTGAGGGAGGGGGGCAGACATACACATATGGTCAACAGTATTAAGAGTTAAGGTTTGGAGATATTCACAGTTTTTCCACTTTTGCAGAGGTCCTACATCTCTAATCCCCTTGAATGTAAAGGACCAACTGTATTTCTTGTGTTTTATATGCATAGAAAGGTAAAATATATTCATATAGTAAGACAGACAATTGGCATACTAATCCTAAATTCGACCTGTACATACATGATCTGACTTACGTACAAATTTGATTTAAAGATGTTCTCAGGAATGGAACTCATTCACAGTCTGAGTCCCTGTATTCTCAAGAATGTGTACTTATGCACTCAGGAATATGTGTGTCCTCTAGATGTTTTGTACTACAACCCCAGTATTCCTGATCATTGGTAATTCTGGTTGGGGTAGATGGAACTTTGAGTCCAAATCATTTGGGGGGGGTAGAATTCCCAAAAGAAGTCACAAATGTTGACTACCTGTCAGAATAGGATGTAAAAGCAGCTATGAGAAAGAAGAGTGCCAATTGGATATTGCAGCAAAGTGGATAAAGTCCTTCCTTCAAAATGTATATATGTGTTATTTATCAAATGAAAGGATTATTGGCCAGTGTATCTATAACAAAAGAATTTTTGTGTTTGTCAAAACTTGTGCTAAACTCACAGAAATCACCTTAGTTTCCGAACAGAAATCAACGTTATTTTTTAGATTAATATTCTCTGGTGGTTACAGTTTAAACTGTAATTTCATTTCATATTCTTAACAGTCTAAGTTTTAAAAAGTGTATGATGGTGGTGAACACAACATTGCAATCATTTCTTTATTTATTTTAGTAATATCCTTCCTTTTTTCTTTTCAAGAAACTCGGAGCAACTTACTTAAGTCTCCTCAATCTTCTCACAACAACCCTGTGAGGTAGCTTCAGCTGTGAGTCTGTGATTGGCCAAAAGTCTCCAGTTAGCTCTATGGCTGAGTGGGGACTAGAACCCAAATCCCCTGAGTCCCAGTCCTCCTATCTTAACCACAGCACCACACTTTCAGTCAGTTCAAAAACATAGGTGTTAGTTGTTTGAGAAGCTAGAGCAAGAAAAGAATAAAATATTTTTATCATATTTGTGATCCAACCTATTCAGCATCTACATAAAACAAAGGAACACTACTCAGTATAACCTCACAGAGTGTAGTAGCTTTTCCACTAGTAAGTTGTTTAGGAGATTCCACCTGGGGCAGGGGGATATTGGGTTCACCTCAGCCTTCTTTTTTTCCTGCCCTGTTCTTACCACAGATAAATTGAATGAATGACTGAGTTGTGAAGATACCATTTTTATTCACTTCTCTATGTAGCAATGCTAGTAAAGGGTGGAGAGAATGTGTTTTTGCCATGTTTATATAACAGCTCTTCAGATACTTAAGAAGTGCTATCATGTTCTGCTCATCTTTTTTTACCCAGGCTAAATGTATCCCATTGTTCTGTGTGAATCAGTTCACCATCTCAGTTGCATTCCTCTGAACCCATTCCTGTAAGTTTATGTCAGCTTGAAGTGTGGTGCTCAGGATTGGACATAATACCTCTGGATGAAGTCTAAGTAGTGCAGAATTATTTCTCTTAACTTGGAAAATATGCTTCTCTTAATGACATTTAAAAGAAGTCACACTGCTGACTTCTTTCCTCTTATTACTGTTTTTCCATTTAGGAAGCAAAACTTTGTTGCCAGTAATTTGCTCAAACAAGATAAGGGGAAGACTCAGGCTAGCATACTCTGACTTGGAGCCAGACTCAAGTCCAGTATCTTTGCCATGAAAACCCCATGGACAGTTCCCACTGTGGAAGCCATGGAATTAAAAAATGGGTTACTTAAGTTCCATTAATGTCAGTGGGTATACTCTAAACCAAGTTTGGACCCAACCTATTCTATCCCAGGAAACAGGAGTAGATGTAATGGACTTGAATTACAGGAAGGTAGGTTTCAGTTGAGAAACTCAAGATAGCAGCAGTTTGACAATAAGAATCAATTATGTTGGGTTCAATTTTCCTGCTTGGAGATTTGCAAGAAGAGGCTGGACATCCACTTGCTGTTCTTTCTTGAAGCCAACTGTCCTGCTGTAACTTTAGTTAAGGCAAGCTTCTGTTGAGTATCCAATAGGTAAGAGAATTTCTGTCAGAGCATTATTTATTTATTTATTCATTCATTTTATAAGCCACCTACTACAAGCATCTTAGGATGGCTTACAAGAAAAGAAAAAAACCCTGAAAATATAAAACAAAACAAGGCACTGTATCTAACCTCAGTAATAAAACCCAGAATAAAACCAATTAAACATTAAAATGATGGGATAATAAAAAGGTTTTCACCTGGCACCAAAAAGAACAAAGCAATAGTGCCAGGCAGACCTCCCTGGGGGCAAATTCCAGGGTCAGGGCACCACTGCCAAAACTGCCCTTTTCTGGATAACTACCCTCCTAATCTCCTTCAAGGAGGGCTCCCAGAGAAGGACCTCTGCCTCAGATTTCAAGGCGTGGGTGGGCACATAAGGAAGAAGGCACTCCTTTAGATATCCAGGACCCAAGCCATTTAGGGCTTTAAAGGTCTTTATAGGTCATTACCAGCACCTTAAATTGGGCCCAGACTTCAATTGGCAGCCAGTGTAAACTGTATAGGGTCTGTGATGTATGAGAGTACCTGCCAGTTCCAGTTAATATCTGTGAGGTTCTGCTGCAGCATCAGGTCTCCATCTTCTGGCCACAGACCAGAATAGCAGCCCTGGTGCTTGCAAGACTGGACCCACAGTCAATTGCAGTCACCTGGGCTGTTATGAGCACCACCTGGGAGCCCTGTGGGAAGAGTTATATAAGAAACGGCTCTTCCCTCCAGATGCTGCTTCAGGATATCATAATATCCTGGCAGGTCTTTTCTGAACCAGTTGAAGTTTCTGTACTGTCTTCAAGGGCAGCCCTATGTATTCCAATTGGGAAGTTGCCAGATTGTGGGTCACTGTTGCTAGGCACTGCTCATCCGGGTAAGGGCACAGTTGGTAAATCAGGTGAAACTGAAGGAAAATGCTCCTCACCACTGCCAACACATGGGATTCCAGAGATAGGTTTGGGTTGAGGAACACTCCCAAACAGTGCACTCTGTCTTTTAGGGGGAGTGCAGCCCCATCCAGGAGAGAGATAAGATCACTTGCCTGGAGGGCTGAACTGCCCATCAGCAGGACCTCTGTCTTGTCTGGATTGAGCCTCAATTTTTTGTCCCTCATCCAGCCCATTATCCTGGCCAGATACTGATTAAGGACTGTCACTGCCTCACCTGGACTAGATGTAAAAGAGAGGTTGTGCTGGGTGCCATCAGCATACCGATGACTCTACAGCCCAAAATCCCGGATGACCTCTCCCAGTGGTTTCATGTAGATTTTGAAGAGCATGAGGGATAAAATGGAACCCTGTGGAATAACATTCTCACCCTGTTCCTTTATTGTCTTTCAGAAGCTCTCTTCTGACACTCATCTGTAGTTTTGCATGCCTAGATTAGGATTTAAAAAACAAACTGGTTTCTTTTTATTCCTGTCCTAATAACCCCACTCTTTCTGAGCTCTGATAAAGTAGCCTTTATGATTTAAGACAGTGTCCATATTTGTTCCCTTAGTTTTTTTTTTTTTTACCCCACAAGCATTAGACAGCTATGGGACTTGCTACATATGATGTAGCACCACCACAAAATGGATGTGGAAAACATCAACAGCCAGCCTCATGTAAGGGTAGTGATTAACAATTAACAGTGTGCTATAACATGGCCCTTCCCTCCTTTTTAAAACTAGTTTTTATTAGTCTGGAATGATAGTATTTAGGATGTGGACCGAAAAACACATGAATAGGTTTTCCACTGACTGCATAAGAATTAGTACTTAAAGCTTTAGCATATTAAAGAAAACTGAACTGAGTATATATTTTACAGAATACATGGTACAGTTTCCAGTGGCGTAACCCTGGCAGAAAAATGGAAGTACATGAACTGAAGTTATTACGATACTTAAACCACATAATTTACTTTAGATATCATTAATGTCACAATTTTCATCATATTTGTTAACAGTTTCTTTCCATGTTCCCACACCTCTTCATAGCAGCTGCCACACTCCTAATACATTTTAAGTCTTGTTTAGTAGATGAGCATGCTCCTGTACTAAATGGATGCGTTGTTGACATTTTGGATTTATGCCTAATAATATTAAGAATGCAATCTGGAGCAGGTGCCTGATCAGGCACAATAGGAACAAGCCTCATTTTCAATTTTCCCAACCTCTTCCTTCAGATCTTGTGTATGAGTGTCTTTCTATGTGTGTTATGTCTTTCATAAGTGACCAACCCATACAAATATGCTGTCTGTGTCAAGCCTCTCACAAGTTTACTTGGAAATAAACAAAGGAAATATGTTACTCAGTTGGTATAAGTTTGTTTGTTCAGGCTTCCTTGTGGCTATAGTTGCAGTCGCTGTGAAAATACCTCAGTGTTCTTAGTGAATTATTGGATTGATTCAGAGGTATTCTTCTGTTTGTGGAAGGACCTTCACT